CGCTCGTCGTCAATAGAACTATTATAATAATTTATCAGAATTACTTTTCAATATTTTTTCTAACTGTGATACTCGTGGCTTTCTAGGTCCTACCATAGAAGATATAACAAAACAACTTAGGAACGATTTGAAGTTGTTATACGCACTGGATGAATTCACCACTCCACGCTGTTTTTTTATCTTACCCGCGAAAGAATGTGAGGTGAATTCTACTAAAGACGTAAAAAATTGGCTGCCCATTCATTATAAGCTCTATTTTCTATGTGAATGTTCACACGAACCAACTAGAATGCATGTTGCACCCCGTGGTGGCTATTCCATTAAAAATTCGAAACAATTCATTCGAAGATATGAATCTTATTTAAGATCGACTTTGAAAATTGCACAAATTTTGCTCTCGGCTGGAAATCTTGATATTCCACAACCAGAGAACGTGTCAATCGCTAACAGCAATACAATAACATTAGAAATGAATACGCCTGAGTATCGCCAAGACATAGAGCAACGATTAAAATTTGTTGATATCTTAGTAAATCAAATCGATGGCAAACAGACATCACAGCGAGGTGAAAACGCACGAGAAATTCTAACGTATCTTGAACTTGTTGACGACGAGCACAGTCTGGGAAAGTTAGACTGTGCAGTTACTGATGATGGTCATGTTCGCTGGGTCTGCCCTGAACACTACGATGAAGTGAACTCTATTGATAAACTGAATAGCTACATTAATGATTTCAAAGTCATGGGCGGAAAATTCGATCAAAAGACCAGAGAAGCGGTTGTATTTGGAATGAATGTGACTAAGAGAAACGTTAAGATGATATGTGGTGCTCTGACGAAAGGGTTTAATATTGTAAAGCTAGTTTTTCAAGATTGTTCGTTCAATGAGGGCTATCTCGAAACATTACTTGATACCATCATCAACCGTTCTTCAATTCGTTGTTTGAACATGACCGCTGTTACTGTTACCAAGTTTTTTGGTGGGGTAAAATACACTTGTAAAAATATGGTCGTCGAATTCAAAAATGAATCATTAAAAATTCGTTTTACCGATAGTTATCATAATGGAAATATACCCATGCTCAATCAGCTTTTGCTGCGAAATAAGATACATCGAACATTGAATATTTCTGCTTGTGACTTTCTTGGACATGAATCTGATCTTCAGCGATGTTTTGAATCAAACAGAACTGTAACAGAACTAATTGTGAAATACTCCAACAACATAGATATCCTTAATACTATATTTGATTTGAAAACAAATGCATTGCACCAATTAAAATTGCCTCAGTCATTGTCAATTCCCTCAATACTATCTCCTTTTTGCGCACTGTTGAAGAAAAATACGACGTTGGTTGAAATCGACTTGATGGATTATACTGGTTTCAAAGAAGAAGCTTTCATTATTAAACTTTTGGATCTATTGAGAGAACACAAGTCAATCAGATATCTTAGCCTACACGTTGAAGGCATACAACTATCAAATCAAAAAGAAACTTACATGATTAAATCATTAAGACGTGATAAATTTATTGCACGTCTCTGTATATCTGCATCTATCGTCTCACGGGAATTCATCGAAGCACTCTATCATGCTTCAAAAGTAAATGATACTTTGACTTATATGAATTTTTATGACAGCCAAGTGAACGACGAAGATAAAGCGCAACTGCACTCATTGTATGAGACTGGTAATTTACTTCAACTGGGTTTTTATGAGCAATCACGTTGGGATGTAATGTTCGCGAGATTAAACGAGCGACCAAGCAGAGGTAAAAGCAAGAAAATTTTGAATTTTATTCTTATTGATGAGAATAATTTACAAGGAAAGCAACGGATATTTATTGACCACAGTGATCCTAAATTCGTTTAGATATTCACTGCTAGTATTTAGAGTCCCAAATTCGCTCTACTAAAATGTATGCTAGTGTATTTCTTGGAATTCTATCGTGAGAAACTTCTAGGATTGATGTAGTTGTTTTCCTACGTTATTTTTACATTCAATTTTTCGTACATGTCTTAATCATCATCATCATCATGTCCCATAGGCTTTGCGCTCGTTGAGACCAACCATTTACGAGATCAGATTCCTACATGACTGTCGGTCTTGTGCAAGATGGAACAATTCTTGTCCACTGTGTTGACACCACTCTGTTATGTCGTCCAGCCATTCTCTACATGGACGACCTGTTCGTGGTTTTCCATCTATCTTTGCGAATACTGTGTGTTTGATTATCCTATTATCGTTCATTCTACAGATATGGCCGAATAGTCTTAATTTTCTCTTCTTAACTATGTCTATTATAGTTTCCTTTTCGATATTCTCTTCCTTATATATTCGTTTCTTATCATATCTGTTCAGCTGATTCTTAGTACCCTTCGGTAGCATTTCATTTCGAATGGCAGTAGCTTTTTCTTGTCGGTTTCTTTCAGGGTCCATGTTTCCGAGGCGTCTAGTAGTACATTGAAGACACACGTTGTTATGATCCTTAATTTGTTTTTTATTGTTAGTTTCTTGCCATTCCATATATGTTTCAAGGATACCATTGCTCAAGCTGCTTTTCCTATTCTTCTTTTTTATCTTTTCTGTGCAGCTGTTATCCCACGTTAATAGGCTTCCTAGATATTCGAATTTATCCACATTTTCTATAGTTTTTCCTCCTATGTGTATGGCTTGTTCGATGGTTCGCTCACCAAATATCATTGATTTGGTATCGGTTGCGTTCACGAGTAGCC